CCCCCACCCCCTCTTCCACCTTAACCTGCTCTGCTAATTATCTTTCGCTACAGAAGCTTTCAAAATCACCATAATCTTACGCTTTTTGTCCTCACTCGTTATGGGGGCTACTGAGTCGCTGCTTTGAACAAATCGGCAAGGACACTTTAAGATACATGTAATAATAATGTACTTTTCATGACCGGGAAGAACCAATCGAGGTCAAATTTTAAAAAAAGATATTATAATAACTGTTTACCGAAACAGTATTTCTCTTCTCATTATACAAATATGTTAAATGTTAACCTTTGGACAGTAGGTTAGTGCACCCTTTTTATCCTTTGGCAACTGATTTTAAAAAACGGTACCAACAATTAAAAGTCCTTGCATAATGACAGCACAATTCTTTGGTACTTAAATACTAGAGCAACTCAAAATCGTTATGCTTTTTTCATGTTTGTACACGCCGCCAGATTAAAGTAGTGTAGATGAAAGAGAGGGGGGGGGGGAGAGAGAGAGAGAGAGAGAGAGAGAGAGAGAGAGAGAGAGAGATGTATGACTTGGGGGATATATTGATAACAATTTCACAGGATCAATTAAGACAATCTTATAGAAAAACGCCTCTGGGTTGAGTCTGTGTACTTTCCGTATGATGGCAATGCTCTGTTGACCCGACCGAAATCCTCATTATTCTACCCCGTAGCAAATCAAGGGATTGATGGCGACGATTAAAAACAATTGCCTTTTTTAAAACTGAGTCATTTCTAAAGTTGTGTTTGCACATTACTTGAATAAAAGATTGCAGAGGCAATTCTTGTTAGCCCGCGGTTACGTGACTGCGCATACGTTGTCTGTCATCATCGAGGGGGAGGGGCATACCAGGGTTCTGAATTGAGCACATGATTATTATGTACATTCATACTTCCCAAGGGATACGCTAACTGAGATTTGTAATATCCACCTGGAGCTAAGCTAATAGAGATTAGTAGCATCCACTTATGCTTGAGGTGTCACGATAAGCCCTAGTATGATTCACAAGCATCGATTTGATACGTAGTGGTCGTCTTTGGGACGTATCAATATAATTTGTTGCGAAAATTTGATTAAATGACCTCGGGCATCTGGTAAAACCTGCTACGTTCTTATAGTAATTATGAGCTGGTTTATAGCATACTATTACTCTCCTGGATATAATGATATGTAAGTTGTTGCATAATGATATGTAAAAGGGGACATATTATTTCTTATCTATGACTTTGTCTTTATCTCAGAAAAAACCCAAGACTTTGTAACAGTGGCTGCTTCCAATTGGTGGAACCTCACTGGCTGTGGTAGGAGACTTCTTCCACTGCTTTCACTTGTTCGATCTTACGAAGAGAGTCAGCTAAGTTTTTCGACTTAATCTTGTAGCAGTTTTAGAATATGTTTTTATTTGGCAATTCTTCAGCCTGGCAGCACCTTCAGTGCACCTTGTTAGAACATTCTATCTGATCACACATATTTTTGCTACCCCAATACATGTTCCTGGTCACTCGCTATTTGGGCAGTTATAAATATTTATGCCATTGACAAAGGTAGGCTTGTTCGAATATTTTTTATTTTCTTTTCAAAACATTTTTAATGACTATTCTTTTTAATTCAATTTTATTTTAATTTTATTTTGTTTAATTTTTTTTATTTTATTTGATTTTTATTTCACTTCATTCTTTCTTTAATTCATTCATTCTTTCTTTCTTTCTTTATTCATTTGAGGGGGGGGGGGGGGTAATCAGCCTGAATTTCGGGCACTGAAAATCGGCACTAAATGTGTTCATGTCATGTATTTCAGAACTAGATTCTAAGTGTTGGTCCCCCGGTCTTTGGTGCCGATAATTTGGTGGGTCGCTCACAGGGTAGCTTCAGATCGATGTCTTCCATCTCTTGTCTTGTCGAGCAGAGTTGATCTACATTTGTGTACACTTTAAAACTGACAAAGCCCATGACCTTTCTGTAAGAAGTAGTACAAGCCTAGGTTGATTAAGAGCCTGGACTTTAGAGCAGTCGTGTATTTACGTAAAATGGTGCCCACTGTAAACATTGAAAGCACGCAGCTGTCCATATATATATATATATATATATATATATATATATATATATATATATATATATATATATATATATATATATATATAATATAAACCTTTTATCTTCTATGATTTGTCTGTATTCTGAGTTAGAAAGCGCACAAAACTGTACTGAGGAAAAGTGCACTCTGTTTTACTCCAGAAAACACGTCCTCTTTTGTTGTTGTCTTTGTTGTGTGTGTGTGTGTGTGTGTGTGTGTGTGTGTGTGTGTGTGTGTGTATGTGTGTGTTTGTGTGTGTGTGTGTGTGTGTGTGTGTGTGTGTATGTGTGAGTGTGTGTGTGTGTGTCCGTGTGTGTGTGCGTGTTATGCGTGTGAAGGGGTGTTCCCCATTGGACCGACACTTTTTTAGCTGTTCGGTTTGGTTGTTTTTTAAATTGTTTTCAATAGAGCCCCCTATTGCTGTTGGGAGTACATGCACATCTGTTTTTTTAAATAGTTTTAGTAAGTGTCTTACGGCACTTGCAACACAATAAGGTCATATAAGTGCCGAAGATTAGAGGTGTTACAAAAGAGTAACAAACACAAAAAAGAATAGGGGAGATAAAGACGATAGATGTTTGATAAGAAAGAAGAAGCAAATCTGTGTCGTTGTTAAAACAGGAGGGGGAGGGGTGTATCAGCTTCTTTTGAATGGCGCCCATGACACATGCCAAAAAGGGGCCATACCACTCAGAGTTATACACCTCAGCATACGATATAATGTTTCATGTATCTATTTTGGCTTTATTGCAGGGACATAAGATAAAAGAACGAAAATAGGAACAAAAGGGAACAAAATCATCCAGAATTTCTAGCAGTAAGAGAATTGGTGGATTTTTTTCTCCAGGTTGAAACTAATTAAGATAGATGAGATGAGATAAGATACATCTTTATTGTCCAGATCCTGGCACATGGGTTTGGTGTTTCACCACGTGTACACACACCCACACACACACACCCACACACGCGCGCGCGCGCCCGCGCCCGCGCCCGCGCACACACACTTAGGCTTACACTCACGTGCATAATATAAATTAGCAGCACTGTAAACAATAATAATCGTAAGCTAGATACACACTCAATGTTATTTTGATGCATGCTCTAAGGTAAGTACAAGATGGTTAAGATGAAAGCATTTTGATAGATGATGGTAAAAATGACCTTCTATACCTTTCTTTGTTACAGATCAGAAGCCTTGGTCTTTTACTTCTGAATGATGTTTAAATTAGGAATCGCAACACTAATTATAATATAGCAATAAACTGGGAAGCCTTGTATTTAAAAAATGGTCCTAATTGCATTACTTGGTTCCTACAACCGGCCTTGTCAGATATCAATGTTTGGGCTTTACTTTTACTCTTTTATTTTTCATCTTCTGTTGAGCGTTGAGGATAGACGCTGATTTCTATGGTAAGCCAGCACCGCAGCTCTTTCAATTGGGGTATATGATGTTGTGGGATGTTTGGGCGTAAGGCTGTGAAAAAGTGTGAAAGTAGATGGTACGGTCGATCTTTGACCTTGTGCTTTTTACGTACCCATTAACACAATTCAAATCTTTTAAAGAGGCAGGTTTTGACCCTGCCTGTCACAGCCAATCCAGGTTGAAAGGAAGAAAGATACAGGAGAAAACGTTCTCCCCACACAAGAATCGAACTCAGGTCTTCATCGTGTGACGGTTAAGCATCAAATCGAGTACCCAGACACGGTAGGCGCTCTGATAGACCGCTATACACCATGATAGTAGGTTCTCAAGTGGGCCGTATCTGTCCCTTTAGTGGCAATCAAGCAAGCGAATTCCACCCTTTGTGGATATTACAGATATAACTCCCCCCCCCCCGAAAGAACTCACCATTTACTACTGGGAGACCACTTGGTTTAGTGTGAAAAAAAGAAGCTTGTCGAAACGATAACGGTATCTTAGCGTTGGAAAAAAAATTAAGAGAGATAGAAGCACTAGAGAGAATAAAAGAAGGACCTGCTGGTTACGCTCTCAAATCACAGCAGCATGCCAAGGAGTTCCTAACACGAAAATTGGTGCGCATCTGGCGGTCGTGTTTCGAACGGCCTGTTCTGAAGCACATCATAGTGTACTGTGTTTTACGGTATGCTATGATACGGTCTGGTGTGTTGTCTTTCAACGTTGTAAATTTATCTAAGATGCGGCACCACTGATTTTCTTTGTCATTCTCCCATAGAACAAAGGCAAGAGGGTCGAAAGCCTTGACATTTCGCTAGACAACCCTAGAGTGATAAAACAACTCCTCAAACCAAAGTTTAAACATGCTTCTATGGGTATCCAGACACAGGTCACACATACACACTTTAGAAAGCGTAGTGCCCTTCCAATTCACAGCAAAAGTGATCCAATTTGTATCATGTATTGTATTAGTAAGAGTTTTATGGCACTTGCAACACAATTAGTCATTTAAGTGCAAAAGATTGGAGGTGTTACAAGATCGTAACAAACTCAAAAAAGGATGAGAGATAAGGAATACAGATATTTGACAGGAAACGAAGGAACAAAACCACACTAGAACAGTCACCAACCATTTCAAAATGCATACAGCATCTTTGGTCAAATATCAGCACACTCACACTATACTGTTAACTCAATGAACATAATCTGACACATGCAGAAAGACAAGTGGATTAGATATGTCATGGCAACTTGTGACATCAGCTTAACATAACTTAGGGCCTAGGGGGGGGGGGGTAATGTTTCATTGTGCTCACAACTCCACAAGATCATGTGAGCATGCGGGACACATTAAACATTTTCAGTTGGCAGGACATTTTGAATTTTGCCCGGATGGCCGCCGAAGCCTACTCTTATCCTTTTTGGGACCACCAAGGGATCTTTAACGTGCGCAACTTGCACATGGGACCTCTGAGATTTTCCCCCCTTGTCCAAGAAGGCTAGGTGTAGATCTTTCCTACCATAAGATCGGGCGTGTGGCTGAATGACAGCAGTAAGAAGGAGCCAAGGAGTAGCAGAAGAAAGGCTGCAGAAAGAGTAAGGAACCCAGAGGATGGGGCAATGAAGGTGAGGGGGTTGAGGCAGAAAGTGGAGACGAAAGCACACGACATAATATTGTTAGAGAGCAGGAAAGGAGGTGAAAGGAGAACATTTTTAAGAAGAAAATTTTCCATCGCTATCCGGATTCAATGCCTGGACTTACTAAACAAGAATCGAACACCGTAACCTCTAGGTCTCGGGAGCCCCCTAACATACCTAATCAAAGCATCAAGGGAAGAAAAAGAAGATTCATAACAACTTGAAGCAGTTCAACAACACATTCGGTCGTCTTTTCTGTCAAGTTTATTGGAGACACATTCATAATATGCTCACAATTGTTTCAACAGAAGGACAGAAAAATCTTATTAACCCTAAATAAAAACTCAAAATTTTAAAGCAAACTGACACAATACTGACCAAACGTAACATTTTAAGATTTTAAAATTCACACACAGTGCCCGAGTATCTCAGATTTCTGGACAAGTTCAATCGTCTCTTGGCACTCTGTCAGGCACCATGACTCAGAACCCTAGAGCACAGGTGAAAATTAATACATTCTCTGTCAACCCATAGTTACTTTTAGATTTCCTCCCTTTTTACATCCAATAACAAACTAGAAGAAAAGCAAGCAAAAGAAAAGTATCTTCTGCTGTGGCGAAGGAAAACAAGCCCATGCTATATAATCTATCAAGCGCAAAGCATATCTAAAAAAATATCTGAATGATCACAGGTTAGCAGTCTCGATCAAGGACGGATGTTGAAACTTAAAATATCACTTTTACATTGTAAAGAATGTAAGTAAAGGTCAAACACCATAATTCATCACTTATTCAATCAATTGCAACATCATGTTTATAAAATATTATGAACAAAAAAAACAAAACCTCAACTGTCAACACAACCTGCATTAAGCAAAAATATAGAAATTTATTTGACATATCATACCACACACGCAATGATTGAGGACCATGAGCAATATAGCCAAACTGTAAACAAATTATGGGGAGTGTTTTCCAGTAAGATACTGACTAAAGGAATGTGTGAACTATGACAGATTAATCAGCTGTCATTATACCAGTTCAAAGTCCAACAGACAAAAAGCGGGACATTACTTAAGCCTTCAGGACTACGCGGCTCTCTTGACCAACCCCAAGATCAAGGTCTACACCCTTTAAAGACATGGGGTTGGCATCGAATGGCTCTAAAATCCATCTAATATTTCAAAATGTTTGATAAATCTGAAAAAGTTTTACACATGGACTTTTTGGCAGGATCATAACAATGACTTCACTGTAGATGACTTTTCTATCATATTGACAGGCTCACTTAAAAGCTAACAAGTACATAACTTAAAGCCTGTCCCCCCCCCCCCCCCCCCCCGGTACTATTTTTTAAGATTCAATAAAATAACACAGTTCTTTTGGACAAAAATATGTAGACAGAAAAAAAGATAATTCATTTTTGTTTGAATAAAATAAAAATACTTGTAACACATATAATACATATGTCAGATAAAAATTTGTGCATTTTTAAAATGGAACAACAAGATAAATATCTTGGACTTAAACAATACTGGAATGTATTCAATCTAATTCACCGTGTAAATTTTAGAAGCTAAGGACAGTTTTGTGACCCCTTTCATTCCTTTTATAAAAAGAGAAAATATCATTAAAAAGACTTCACAGTTCAACAAATTTCAGCAAAAAAAATCAACAGCTTCAGTACAAGAGAACAGTGCTGAAGGTGCTACTAATTTTTTGCTGTTTTTTAAATTTACACCGCTTGTGCATATCACAGGACTCTACTAAATAAGAAAATAATACCAGAGACGTATCTATCCAATAAATCTCTGGCAATTAGGCAATTTGCAAGCATTGATGTGCAAGTTTGTCTTCGATGAAAGAAGAAATATCTGTGGAATGTCACAATGAAAGACAAAAGAGACAGCTTGTTTCAAATTTGTTCTTCATTGCTGGGGCCTCTGTGACAGAGTGTCTGTGGAGAGATGAAAGTTTCAAGCTCAAAATTTTAATTAAAACTAAAAAATGCAAAGTGTCAGCCCCTTTTACGATAGAGAAAACATTTTTGCTTATGTATGAAATCTATTTTATGGAGCTTCAAACCTAGAGGCTTAACTTATTGTGCAGATATACACACTATCTCATTGAGCAAAAAAATTTACTTACATGATTGTTTAGCAAAAGGGCAAAAAATCAACTCGGTAACCAAATAACCATATCATGACATGTCAAACTACACAATCATATTCCTCACACAGATTGATCGAAAAAAAATTACCATATTCAAAAACCACACTCACACTTACTTTTATTAAAAGATGAAGAGGGGAAGGCAACAAAATAGCAAAACATCTTTTGTGAAAGAATATGGTGCTTTTATTTCCAAGTTTCAGTATTTGCTGGCTGTCAAAATTTACAAATTAAAGAACACTTCAAGGAGAGAAAACAAACCTTGGTCTGAGACATCAGTCTTTCAACTTGAGTATAGTGAAGAGCGGAGCTGCTCCTCCTACAGCTATTATCCTGCCATTGTTTGCAGAATCAGCAGCTTGAACTGGACCTGCCAACTTGTAACCTCCGACGTGCTGGAAAAGGGACATAGTAAAGAGCTCAGTTAAGGCATGCTACGTTTGGAGTAGATGTCAGCATCTGGGAAGAAATAGCTGATGACAGGAAAACATGGAGGATAATGATAAAGAAAGGAACTATTATGCTAGAGAGTAGCCTCAGAAACAACTGCAGGCTGAGAAGCACCAACGACAAAAGGAAAACAGTGGAAATACAGAGCTTTGATCCACCTCACAGACAAGCAAGCACTGCGACAGAATCTGGGCATCAAACATAGGAAGAATAAGCCATGAAAGAAGCTGCATGAAGACAACCGTGAGACCATCTTAAGCCAAATTGACTGTCTGCATAGATGAAAAGAGCCACACAGTTAAGGCATAGTCTTCACCCAAATCGGCATGATTATAGCAACATTTCAAGAGGAACAAAATAGCAAAATAAAAAGTGAACATAAGTTGAAAGAGAAGAACACAATATAGTGTTCACTAACAAGCTATGTCAAAGTGCAGAAAAGCTTCAATTTTAAATTTAATACATCAAACTGTCAGACACGCAAGAGACAATTTTACCGCAGAGAAAAGGAGCACACAGCACAGAGATCATTACTACAGAGAAAAAACATATCACCTTGTTGGTTGAACTATCATTTGCAGGGTAATGAAAAGATGACATAGTGATGGTAACATAGGAGAGAGCTTTTGGAAAAGTCTACAAACCTTCTAAGCCTAAAAAATTATTCACCCTTGAGAAAACTTGATAATGCAGAGCACACAACACTGGTAATCACACAAGGGCTAAGAATGAATTCTTATCCCTCAAAGAAGAAAACAGTCTCAGTGCCAATACAAAAACGGCATTTCAAGAGACCCATTATCTATTTGACCCCTACCTTCCTTTGCATTGACTGCTAGATATACATACTGCAGTGTACACCCAGGTCTGAGTTTGGAGCTCAAAGGGCTCACACACATTGGGTTTAATGTAAAACAGGTTCTTATGGCGCTTTTTTAATGTAATAATTTGGGTAAAGAGGAGATAGGAAGCTTAGAGAGCAGAGAAAATTGTATGGCTATGACTGCTGACATCAGCAACAGACCAGGACTGAAGACAAGGAAGGGGAGAAAAAAACAAGAGAAAAAAGTAACTGAGATCTCCTCAGACTTACTCTGTTTGTGTCAATCTCTACAACCTCCAGGCTGTTGGTGCCACTGCCCCCACCCATCACAGTGTTGTCGTTGACATAGGAAGCAGCATACAAGAAAGCCCCGTCCTTGTGTGGGTAGTTGATCTCCTTGACCACTTTCCCACTTGTGTAGTCGTACAGCTGTAAGGCGTGCAAGGCCGTCCACTGGCCTGTGAGAATGTTGTTGTCCTGAAGACAGCATGAGAGAGAAAACCCCAGTCATATAAGTGTCAGTGAATAGGCTTGAGCAGTCTTTAAAAAAGATAACAAAAAAGGTTACAATTAGTTAATGAACATCAAAATTTCAGTACATTAGCAAAAATGATTTTTTGAACAAAAAAGTTTAACCCCTTTTACTCACGATACAAGTTTTACATGTTTACCATTACAATAAAGAGCTGATAATGTATTTATTTCTACTGTCAACCATGCATTAACTAATCTAATGACAAGCATAGACAAACAAAGTAATAAATAAATGGTGTCCCAGCATTTAAACATCACATCCATAAATTGGCAAAAAGGAATACAAGTTTTTCTAAATGTGGGATTTGTACTGGTAATTGTATATGGTTTCATATCAACGCCCATACAACAAGAACATCTCCTCCTATCTCCTACTTGTGTAATTGTGGAAAGTTTTCTCCCTTCCTGTAACATGTGTGTTTACAAAGACTGCAAGACTGGCCAAACAAAGGTCTAATACAAAAGTACAAAAGGATATTTACATAAGTCAGGAATAGTAGACTCATGCTTTTCTTCAATGCTGATCAATTCAAACCTTGATCAATAGGAACACTAATGACAAAATGCTAGGATTCTTTCAAAGCTGGATTGAGCATAAAAAAGACGACAATTTTGATAAAAACATTTGCATCCACTATCAGGCTGCTTCTTTGTTCATGATCAGATACTACACAAAAGAAATAAAAATGTGTATGGTTATTAACATTTTCTTCTTCATTGCTTCAATTGATATTGGACAGACATATTTTCTTACTTTACTAATAGCAACAACAACAAAAAAAACCCTCTCCTCTAACAGTCAAAGGCATATAACTATACTATCCAAAATCACACTGGTCTCTAAGTGGTTTCCCCTGGTATGTTTCTTATATTATATGCTTGACGAAAATGTGATCATTCTATGCAAAGTGGGGAAGACCATTAAAAAAAATGAAACCCCTAAAACTGCCACAAATCTTGGAAAGTAACAAGTGCCCCTGATTCACAATGCCACAACTCAAAGCTATATCTCACATGATTCCCCCCACCTGCCCACAAAGAACACATGAAGTAGTCAGACCTGTCCTTCTGTTGTTGAGCTATTCGCGGGCAGTATTGCATACAGATGTATCTCAAAGGCCGCCAAAAATGACTTACGTCTGTATGCAATACTGCCTGCGTATTGTCTACCTTCAGTCTGAGATGACATTGCCTAGAATTACCTTGAAGAGGACCTCAGATGGTAAAGAGACAAGAAGATCAAGAAAAAACCAAGAGATGAAGAGAAGAGAGAGAAAAGAAGGAGCAAAGATAGGATCTGGGGCTGCCTAGCAAAACATTCCAGAGACAAAAAAAAGGGGTATAATTATGCACTATTTCCTGAAACCACAAAAAATGCAATTTGTAAATTAGTAATGTAATAGTTTATGTCACGTTTCATTTCTTTTAGAAATAAGTGGGACTTACAGAAAAATATATACTACGTATAACGGCATCACAATTAGATGGAGGAAAATATTACCTTCATATCTATGGAATCTCCACAGATGTGTGGCCCTCTAATGTTTCGCTTGATGCCTTCATTGTCCCGAGTATCCCAGATCTGAAACAGCAGCGGTCAGAGCAGGATAAAAAAGTGGATCTTCTTTTTCTTATTTTTGGGGGGGGGTCTGAGTTTAACACTTCTTTCCCAAGCATCAATACATTATAAGTCTCATACTCATAAAAGGTCAACAGAATTTAGTTTACATTTCATCATGTAGTTGCAAGAAGCATACAAATTTTATTTGAAATTTGTAAGCATCTGGTGACTGACAGTAGTAGCCAGTAGTTTCAAGTGTCTGAGGGAGATGCACGTATTCACCATTAGAAGGACTTTGTTTACCTAGAACCAGAGGCGAAGTGTCTATATAATCAAATAATCACTGCTTCCCTTCCTAATTTTGAAACATTGTCGCAGTCAAATTCACCCATAGACGTAACCCTCATAAATTAAATGTAAAAAGACGTTCATAATCACCAATGAACAATAGACAATGCCTAACCTTCAAAACCGTTTCATTGTCACAGAAATAGCCTGTTCGCCCCTATCGGGTCACTCCATAAGCAGTCACAAGCTTTGATTAAGTAAGCTTAAAGTGAGGCTGGAAGAGTCAACCAATAGATTTGAAGGGAACATGTGCATAGCAGTCAGAACTGTTTCATTGTTGCATATACCCTGTTGTTCACCCCTTTCGGGCCACAGTTATAAGCACCCAGACGCGCTGATTATCTAAGCGAACTATTACACTGGTCGAGTCTATCTCACAGATGTGAGGGGAACTAACTCCTAATAATCCTTTGACTCCTGCTACTACACTGCTAGTGCTTGTTTTTTTCCTCGACTTTTTAACGTCCTATAATCAGATCGTGACCTCGATTATGACAGCGGCTCCTGGCCGCGAAAAGCTAGACAAAAAACAGCCAAATGTGAAATAAAAATAATAATAATTGGCGTGCTCTACCAAAGTGTTTCGGCTGTCTGGTATAACATGCCATTGTAGTACTGACATCTGTGCTTCTTTCCTTAGTGTTCGTGTGTTCAAATCTAAAGTTAAATTTAAGGTTAGTTAGAATAAATATTTAATGAAATACTTTCCCGATTATTTTAGCGGTTGAACAAGCATACAACATGAATTCAGGATTTGTTTTCATTCACAACTCAGAGTTGCCGCCTCCAGTGCCAGTAAGATTCTTGTGACTTGTGTGAGTGTGATATCTCCAGGCCCTATCTGGTCCCATTTCACTTTGATTACCCTGTCAAACAAGTCAGCCTTCGCCCCTGCCTAGAACGCTAGTGTATAGGCCTACATAATATGATGTGTGAGGTGGAAGTGTTCAATATCCTACTAGCTATAGAGCTGGTCAATCTGAAGAAATCTTACAAGTTGTGCATGACATTGAGTTGAGGATAGGAAATTAGGGAGGGGAAATTTTGTATCAAACAATTATTATTTCTATTATAAAATGACGAATAATCAGGCTCATGAATGGTGTCTTTCTTTCATTACAAGTTTAACACCCTTTGAGACATAAATGGGGATTATGAAGGAAAAGAACTTGGTATGACAGTAAGAGTTTAGTAAAAACGAAAGTTAGAGACTTTGCACCCAAGTAATTAGCACGCAAGTACATTTGAAGAAATCAAGACCATGAATAAAACTACACAAATGAATAAGTCTTTGTTACCTTGATATGATTATCCCAGCCACCACTCACGAAGATATATTGATTGTTGGGATGGAACTTAATGCTAAAGACACGCATGGTGTTGGCCACTTTGTTCTTCTCAGTGACAAACGTTTTCTCATTGTAACCTTCATATGTTCTCAGCAACTGCAACAGAAAGGCGAAATAAAGCATTGCAGCATTATTAAGATAGAAAATAAATTCACCATTACAATGTTTCAAATGCTGGACTTGTCTTTTCCTCAATCTTGTTGAAGTGTGAAACTTTATAAAATAATGTGATATTTGCTAAAAGTCCCTTTTAACATTGTAAGTTCGTAAGGATATAAAATACCTTCAATCTCTGATAGGTTCAAGTCAAATGAGAGGAGAAGCATGAAAACTCCTCAAATAGGTAAGTTGGAGAACATACTGTTGGGGGCTCTAACCAGGGTTGTACATGTACACAATGCAACTTTGTTCGATACTAATTGAATCAAATCATGCCAATGTCATTGAAAACGCTTGGAACCACATACAAAATTATAGGAAGATAAAACAAAGAACCTACCAGAACCACCTTCCAACCATCCAAAATATGCACCTGAAAGATTCATACCTTGTTGTGTTTTGTCTCATAAACTCGCACATTGAGATCTTTTCCTCCAGTGGCAAAGTTGAAGCCATCGACACAAAAGTCCAGAGTGTTGATTTCATTACCAAGTTCTGGGCGAGAGAAAAAATCAAAACATACATGTTATGCTATATAATACAAGTCGGGTGCTACAAGTATTAGGGCATCTGTCCTTCTGTTCAAGTATTAAGTCAAGCCCCTATTACTGTAAGAACATGAGTGAATCTAATAGCATCAGCATTTCATCAAAAGTGTTTCTGCCGAGACAATGCATCCCTCTCAGCCTAGGTTGGCCCTGACAGGCAGGGTTGAAGCAGCCTATATCATCCTGAATGATCTGAATAGTGTTGACAGGGGCATAACACTTCTACGGTTAAAAATAACAGAACTTATAGTGGGCAGATCATTTGAGCCAGTGGTCAGAATAAACAATAATAAGATTGTGTTTGTTTGTTGAGCAAAGAGATGCACATCGACACAATAATGGTCATTTAGTGCTGGGAAGAAGTAAGACAGACAGAAACAACACAGGGAAAGTAAAGAAGTAGGACTTACCAGTGGCGCCCTCTAACCCCCAACACAGTATTAAGGCAGGCAGGAAAGAAAGCAAAAGCAGCACACAAAAATACATGTCACACATATGTACATCCCAGTAGAGACGATAATTGTTATACTCTTTGATAACACACAGGGACAAAACAGACTGCCTTTTTGAGTGGGCCAAATGTGTTGATTGGGCGTAAAACATATTATACAAACAGAACTCTTTCTCTTCCCCTCTCTCCCTCTCTCTCCTCCCTCTCTATCTCTCTCTGAGAACCACCCATTTCTGTTTAGCTTTCAAACTTCCACTTCTTGTGAGTGAAGATAAAAATTAACCACAAAATTAGGGACAGAACGGACATTCATACTTTTATGATAATTATTTTCTGCTCTTGACACCCCCCCATGCCGAACATCAAGATCAATCTCTGAAGCCTACCTTCTATCGTGCCGAGTTGCTCTCCAGTCTTTACGTTGTAGATGTAGACGTAGCCCTCGGTGGTGCCGGCATACAGAACGTCCGGCTCCTTGGGGTGGAAACGCAGAGTCATGACAGAAGAGCCGCCCTGACGACATGCTCGCAGCTCTTTAGTCATCGTACCAGTCAATGGGTCAAACAACTGGGGAATGAGTCAACAGTCTATTGGGGGAACAAAAAGTTTCACACACTACTAAATAATAATAGACCACTTATTAGTTTAGTTGTAGTAAGAGTTTTATGGCACCTGCAACATAACCAGGTCACTTAAGCGCCAAAGATTAGAAATCTTACAAGAGAGAAACAAACTAAAAAAAAAGAAGGAGAGATAAAGACGATAATTGTTTGAGCAAACCACATCAGAGCACCTGCCAACCACCCGCTAGATCACTTCAAAGGCAAAGCACTTGGTCCACTAGTAAGAGTTGAAAAGGAGGCAGAACAAAGGATAAAAGCAAGAAGAAAGAAGCGATTCCTGAAAATAAACATCACTTAAGTACAAAGGGAAAATAAGTGAGACGTTTGTTTTGAATGAATCTGCTACCTTTGTAGACTGTAATCAATCATTTCAAACACATGGAGCACTTAGCTTGAAGAAAAAGTAAAAAAATAAAAATGAGGGAAGCAAGAATGCAACATGCCAATACATATAAGTAGGGCCTAATTATCCCAAATCTTCAAAAGACAACTGGAGCCTATATGCTTCATTTGGCCATTAGACTGGTAGCACTTTTTGCTGGAGCAGGTGTGTTGTTGGTCAAAATTCAGGAGAAGGATCTCTTTCTCCCTTTTCTCTCATTCTCATCAAACCTCTCTATCTCTCTTTCTCTCTGTCTGTCTGTCTGTCTGTCTGTCTGTCTGTCTGTCTGTCCGTCCGTCCGTCCGTCCGTCCGTCCGTCCGTCTGTCT